TAAGCCACTCCTAAAAGTTCTTTAGGAATGTATGAAGATCACAGCCAAAACCCATAAACAGACCAACCTCGCTGAAGGAGTCACCACCACTCGCCATTGTTGGCCCCGACACTAGACTTTCCTGAAGAACCCACGGCGGAGCTGGTGCCATCATGTGGCAAAACCACCATCTAAACACCAACATACTGTCAGGGAGTTTCGCACTAAACTACTCTAAACCCTATCCACATGCATTTTTAGGAAAAGAAACATAAAATCTAACCTAGAACAGAAGCAAATTCCATAGAAACATGGAGAAATCGAGAAACTTATCGAGTTAGGAAAGATTAACGGCGGAACGGGAAAAAATCCCAACGGTGAACGGTGGAACGAGCAAAAAGTTCGGCGTAGAACGACGGTGTCGTGTAGAACTACTAGAAACGAGCAGAAAAAGAGCAAGTAAAAATGCAAATAAAGCTCCCTCTCCCCCTTTTATAAAGCAGCTTGCTGGAACGTGAGTGGGCACGCTCCTAGGGAAGGCTAAGGGGCGTCATCATTACACCCCAGTTCCTAGACTAGCCATCATTACACGTCTGATAACACATGGCTCAAAGCAAGTGTGTCCCTCGAAAATAATGCAAGTAGAACCCATGAAACAACGCACAAGATCCTCGGAAGAAGCAGTCCCTCGAAAATACCGCAAGCACGTCTTAAGTCATTGCCCCTCTGCCCAGAGGTAACGACTTTGGGGCTCATGTTATGGTCTGACCCAATGACTAGGATTGTCCCAATCCACGTCTACACCCAACGTGGCCCAATAACTCTGGCCCACCAGCTATGGACCTTCGTCGGGCGCGCCTGGTCGATTAAGCACAACCACGTCCTGATCCTTATGCCTGTCTGCATCGACAACTTTCTCACTGGTATGTTCGACGCACATGAAGAAGACAACCAGGAAACGCCTAAAATGCATCTGCCTGTAATCTCACTTGTGCTCGGTGTAACGGCTAGTTACGGGCATAATTGTCCGTTTTGACCAAGTCCTTGTAGTTACCTATTTTTGCGGATCCGAATATCTCGACCCAAAAATAGGGATCAATGGCCAAGCGTCAGGGGTATTATATAAACTCCCACACTCGTGAGGGCCAGATACCAAATATTCAACACTAAAAACCCTAATATCTCTCTTGTATCTCTTTGCACCCATTTTTACTTGATCGTCGGAGTGCCTTGCAAGTACACCCCCTTCTCTCCTCAACTTTCTAGCCAACCAGACGTCATCCTTCGGCCCACTTTCAAGTTCTGATCAACCGGTAAGATCAGATGTGCACCATTGAGAACTCGAAAATGTTTATGGATGAATTCGGAGATGCATCTTCGAACACATCCTTCATAAAATAAGCATCAAATTGATTTGGATATGCATATTCGAATTCACCCCGAATAAATTCAGAAATGCATATTCGAAAATACTCTTGAACCCTTTTACTACACATTTTCATTGAAATTGGTGCAGTTGTCGAGGACTCTCTATCGATTTTAACTAATATTAAAGCCATGGGAATTGTATATGCATTTACGCGACCTAACGTAAAAAACTCGATTTTATAGAAAATCGACTATGAATTGAAATTTTACCGTGTCAATTCATCAGGAAAAATTAGGAATTAAAATCTTTTATTTTGGGACAAAATACGGGACACCGCCCTAAAACCCCTAAATTCCTTGTTTTTCTATTTTATTTGATTTATTTTTCGTTTTCATATTTACTAAAAAAATCCAAAAAAAATTGTACACACTTAATTTAGTTTTATTTTTTAGTTGTATATTTAATTTTTTATAGTTTTATTTTAGTCATTTTTTTATTTTAGTCATTTTTTCTCCAATTATTTTCTTTAAGTGTGTCTATCCGGATACATCAAATACTAAATTAAAAAAGAAACAAAACATAAAATTTTTCAGATATGCATATCCGAACGCATCATTTTTCGTAAAAAATATGGTTTATTCGGAGATGCATATCTGAACATACATTTTTCGTAAAAAAATAAAATTTATTCGGGAGATACATATCTGAATATAGTCTTATAAAAATAATCTAAATTAATTATTTTATAAAAGAAATATGTTCAAAAATATATCTCAAAAAATAAAAAACAGCTTTAAAATTTTGCTAAACATCTGAGAGAAAAGTATAAGGTGCAATGAAAAATCAATTTATAATAAATAATTTTTTTTTTAAAATTCATTAAATAAATATAAAAAATAACGTGTCTCTTTTAAATAAGTTTTATAAATAAAAGAATACTTAGATACAATTTTATAAGTGTAGTTCATGATTTTCTCCAATAAAAATATGATAAATATTTTTAAATATTTTAAAAAAAAATTACATATGTATAAAAAAAATTATACTTTTGTTATATTTTTATTTAAAAAAACATAAATCACACTAAAAAAATATACCTAAATTTTTTTTAATAAATATAAATAAGACGAGGAAGTAAATAAGTTATAAATTGTACACATATTAAAAAGAATCATCTTTTATATTTTTTAAAGTACGAAATATAATTTTTTATACCAAAAGTTTCACACTATTAATACAAATAATTCTTGTTTCCGAAATTAATTAATTATTTTTTAATTATTTATCACAAATAAAAAATATATAAAATGTGATAATAAATTACTAATAATATTATAGAAAAAATAAATTATTATCAAAACTAACAATTTACTATTTATATTCAAACGTGTAAATAAAAAGTTTTTTTTTAAAAACTTCATCTATTTGATTTTAAATTCAATTTAAGTTTTGACTTTTGTAATTATTTAGAATAATAGATTAATTGTTATGTACGATCCATATAATTTTTTTTATACAATACAATAATGTTCACCAACTGCACTCTTTTAGAATAGCTTAGTAAATGAGAGTTCCGGTGCTTAAGTTTACCATCAATTTTTTCGGTCAGGGCTGCACAGTTTTTTGAGATTCTGCTGCTAGTTAACGGAATGCCCAAATAACAAAACGGAAGGACACCCCTGTTGAAACCAGTAATATCCACAAACTCAGATTGCTCACTACCTGACATACCGCTACAATAAACCTTACATTTACTCGGATTAACGTGTAAGCCAGTTGACATAGAAAAATCAGAAAATGTCTCCATCATCGGCATAACCGAGATGCTATCCCCCCTGGAAAACAAAAGCAAGTCATCTGCAAAACTCAGGTCTATAAGCTTCAATTTCTCACATTTCCTGTGGAAATTGAAGTTAGGAATCTTGCTTAAACCCTCAAGTTTCTTGTTTAGGTATTCCATCACCACCACAAACAACAAGGGAGAGATAGGGCAACCCTGCCTCAGCCCCCTGGCTGCCCTCAAATTCTTCGTGACATGGCCGTTAAGGTTGAATTGGTAGGAAACAGTAGAAACTGCCAGCATCACCCAACTTATAAATCTACGAGGGAAACCAACTTCAACCAGGATAGTTCTCAAAGCCTTCCAATCCACCGAGTCGTGGGCCTTACGAATGTCCATTTGCACCATGCATCTCGGCATTCCACCCTTCCTGTTATACCCTTTTATCAGCTCATAAGCAAGTAAAATATGATCTTGGATTTTTTGCCTTGGCACAAACGCAGCTTGGTTCTTGCTAATTATCGTTCCCAGCACCTCGCTCATTCTGTTAGCCATAATTTTTTAGATTACCTTGTACATAGTAGTACAGGAGGAAATGGGCCTAAAATCTCTAATGTCTGTGGCTTTGTCATGTTTGGGAATAAGAGTGACCAGAGTCTTGTTAATTCTGGCATCCAGCTTGCCTCCCTCAACGAATTCTTTCATGGCTTCTAGCATGTCAGTCTTAACCACTGCCCAGGAATGTTTGAAAAATTTCGCACCAAAGCCACCAATGCCTGGAGTTGTGAGATCCCCAATACTGCTTATAGCCTCAAACACTTCTGTTTCACACACAGGACAAATTAGCTTGATATGCTGCTCAGACGATAACTGCTTTCCACTGTGTAAAGCTCCAATGACAATCCCTCGCAAAGTTGGGTCAGCAGTCCCCATGAGCCCTTTGTAGAATTTCATTACCTCACACTCAATATCTTCCCGTGTAATGCAATTCTCCCCATTCTCCTTGGAAAAACTGTGAATCGCCTTATGCCTATTTTTGCTATTGAGAATAGCAAAAAAGAAGCGGTTATTACCATCCCCTTGTCTAATCCATTCAATCTTTGCTTTCTGCCTAAGGATTTGCTCCTCCAATTCATTCAGGTACATGAGCTTTGTCGTATACACTCTCTCTTGACTGAGAAACTGAGAATTTACTTTATCACAGCACAGAAGCTGTTGCACATCATACAGACGGCTTCTAGCTTGCTCAATCTGCCTCTTGATATTCATAATCGGTTTGTGGAGCTCCATAATCACAGGTTTGACTCTCATTAGTTTATTCCATATCCTTCAGCACTGAGGTCCACGCACGCTCTTCAGCCAATTGTCTCTGATTTTCTTAGTCCTCCATTTCAGTTACAGCATTAATGAATTTAAAGCCAGCCTTCAGTCTAGACGTACGCTCCTGCCCTTTGATATACACTTGGGCATGATCAGAGACACCAGGCTCTAACATATGCACAGATTTCTCAGAATTTCCTTGTATCCACTCGATGTTGGCAATTACCCTGTCAATTCTAGAAAAATGGGCCCAACAGCATGCTTGTTGTACCAAGTGAACTTGTCTCCATGACTATCCAATTCAAACAGACCAGTTGCCAACATCATATTCCTCAGGTCACAATACTCCTTATCCTTAACCACCTTTCCTCCAATTCTGTCCTGAGGGCCTAACACATTGTTAAAATCGCCCATCACAATCCAGGGCCCCTGTTGAGAATCTCCAATACTGCCAATAGCACGCCACAAGTTTTTCCTCTAATCAATATTGCTAGCAGCATACACTCCAGTAATCCAAGAAACAAAACTGCCATCCAGATTGTACATCCCACAATGAATCAGCTGATCCGTCATAGACAAAACCTGAATATTGATTCTACTATTTTACCACATAAACCAAATACGCCCGTTGTAATGCTTGCTATAGTTATCCACAATGTTCCAATTTCCACCCATTCTGGCTCTACACTTCTCAGCATTACTCTGTTTTACTCGAGTTTCCAGAATAATGACTATTCTAGGCTGAAGCTTAAAGAGACGGGAGCTAACCTCTTTTTGCTTAGCCACTTTATTCAGCCCCCTTACATTCCACGAGATAATCATGGGACCCCAAAGGGGTGCACCTTAGAGTCGTTCCAAACAGCTAAGGAGCTAAAGCCATTACTACTGAAAATATTTTTCTCCTTTTCAACTGGAAGTTTACCTCTTTCTCTAATACCTTTGACAACTTCAGTCCAGAAGCCCTCATCTTCATTTTCTATTCTTTCCTCGCCTACAACCCTTGCATCAGGACTAGTCTCCACAGTATCAACCTTGTTAGCTTGGCTTTTGGTTGCCACAATTTGACTTTTGGCTTCTTCTCAGTGCCACATATATGCCCCATCTTTTGGCATCGTCTACATAACTTAGGGTGCCATTCATAATCCACCTTTTGCTTTAATTCCCTTCCCTCAAACTTGATAGCAACTTCTTCACACAGTTTCTGCGTAACATTCACTTCAACTAATATGCGAGCATAAGAGATATGAAGTTTACCTGCTGTGCACTCATCAGTAAATAAAGGAGTACCAATGGCGCTACCAATCTTCCCCAGGCTACTATCTCCCCAGAGATGCACTGGCAGCTGCGACAGCTTAATCCAGATAGGAACATTCCTCAGCATATCTCTCTCCATCGAGAAATCTGGTCTCCATTCCAAAATCACCATAGGCAAATTACGTATGATAAGGTCCTTGCAACATAACTTCCTCACGCTCCTTCTTAGTCTTGAATTTCAAGATGAAGTAGCCTTCGTCGTTGTAGAACATCTCTGGCAGCTTCACAAAGTTCCACTCCTTAGCCATGAAATTCTTCACCGCTGTCATGCTCAGATCCCCCCCAATCGCATACATGATGAGTGACGTTTCCCAGAAGCGCCTCTCCCCAGCTACATCCTCCTCCTCAATCTCAACAACCGCTTCCCCATTGACAATTATAGGAGCAACAAACTTGAGAGCTTTACCATTCTCAGTCTTGCAACTCCCACTGATGACATCCACCCAAAGTTTAGCATTCTCAGGCATAGCAGTTTCCTCCACCTCAATTTCATTACCCCCTTGCTTAGGATTAGGGTTGAAACCAAGATCCCTCGCGTTTGGCTCTTCAGCCATAGCCTCCTCGCTACCTACAAACACAGACCCTCCCTCCTCCTTAGAAATCTCCGCGTGACCATCAGGAACGGGCAACAACGGTGACAGGGTGACCTTCGGTGGTCGCCCCCGTTTCCGCGTCACCTTGCTCAGCGCCTTCGCCTTCGTCATTATTATTTGAAGATTCAATATATATTATTATAGAATAAAAATTAAATATTATTAAAAATTTAATGGTCACGATTAATTTATAATGTCGATTCATATCAATTAAATTGTAATTAATTTAAATGATAAAAAATATCAAAATTATAAAATGAAGGAGTAATTAATAACATACTAAAATTGTCTCTTCACTTCTCTTTTTGTGGTGTACACTCTTTTTGGATTTCAAGCTTTTGTTTTCACTCACAAACTCACTCATCCTTTCCACCACTAGAACAAACCCAAGGTTTTTTTTTTCTTTCCCTAATTTTTATTTTTGATTCTTCCTCTTTTTGAAATTTGTATAGATTATTTCTTTCAGAACATTGAAAGTGTAGAATGGCTTCCATGATTGCAACCTTGCCACCACCATTGCTACTTCATCATGGTAGAAATTCATTTTCAGGGAATTTCCAGAGTTTCTCTGTTTCTCTTCTTGCAGGTAACCCTTTACTGTGTTTTATCTTTTTCTTTGCTTTTTTTCTAGATGGGTCTCTGAAAGTTAAATTTTTTATTCCCTTGGAAAGTATTTGAAATAAACCTTGTTTGATTTTTCTAGAGTTGTATTTTGAAGTCGATCTAGTGAAGTTAAAAGACACTGAATGATACAATATTTGCTCTTATTTATAATGTGGATAGAGCACTTAGTAACTAACTAACTCAGTAATCACAATTAAGCGTGTTTGGGCGAGAATAATACCAGAATGAGTGATCCTCTGGATACTCCTTTGTAAAATGTTTATTTTTGAACTTTGGTAGCGTACTATGCTATGGAGCAATTGTGAAAATGTTCAAGGTCCTTAAAACAACATTGATTTGGATTCAATTACTTTTATTTTCTTATGGCATGTTCTTAACTACAAGTGTTTATATGTCTCTACATGTTTCTAATTTTTCGATCTCACAGGGAGACGGAACAGCTTTGCATTTGTTGTGAAGGCTTCTGGAGAAAGTTCCGAATCCTCAACTTCACTCACTGTTCTCAAATCTGTTCAGAATGCCGTGAGTTTCGCCTTCAACTCCCAACCTTCTCGTCTCTTTCTTGAGAAAAACATCAAATATTACCTATGTTTTTTGTTTGTTGATGTTCAAACAGTGGGATAAACCCGAGGACCGGTTGGGGCTAATCGGTTTGGGCTTTTCAGCTGTAGTAGCATTTTGGGCCTCGACAAATTTGATAGCGGTAATCTTTACCAATCTTGCACTATTCTGATACCGAATTCGTGACTCATGTCCTTCCGGTTTTGATTTGTTTTGTTACTTTTGTGTATAGGCTATTGACAAATTGCCAGTTCTCCCGTTTTCGTTTGAACTAATTGGAATACTTTTCTCAACGGTAAGTACTGTGCTAAATAACGTGTAAACTCATGAATAGAACCACCAAACTATAATAGAAAATACATCTTTTTGCGCCGTTCCAAAAATTCAAGAAACTATAGTAACTTGCGTGCATTCATCATAAAATATATATGAAGTTATAGAATATGTTTTGCAAGAGGGAGTTGATGAATTTATTGATTGATTGGCAACTTGAATTGATAAGTAACTAACTTGTATTTCTGTTTCAGTGGTTCACTTATCGCTATCTCTTATTCAAGCCTGACCGGTAAGCATTTACTATATCTTTCTTGATTTCCAGTTTTTCTGATATTAGCTACATCATAAAATTATAAGACCACCTATGATTTCATAATGAAGTGAGGAAAGAAGAAAATTAGTATGAAGTATCTAATATGTAGCATCAACACCTCTGAAAAAAGAAAAAAGACGTAGTAGTGACTTGTAACTGTGTCTGTGTAAGATACTGACAGGACACTAACACTTGTGATTACGTTAATTTATTCATTTTTTCAAATTATTAATGGGGTCGAAATGTCAATCTCGGTGTATTTTAAGTTCATAGGTTGGTACTTTTCAAGAGTTTATTAGATTATATGTGCGCGGTCACTATGCAAGCAACTTCAATTGAGTTTTTTTTTTCTTCTTGATTACAGGGAAGAACTTTTCCAAATCTTGAACAAGTCAGCTTCAGATATCTTGGGCCAGTAAGATGTGCTGCTGAAATATTGCTGCAGATTATGATTTTAAGCGCGGATTATCATTAATCAGCGGCGATAAAGTTTACTCCTATGTCAAATTACAGTGCAAGTTTCAAATCTTAACTTATGCATTAATGTGATTTTGTTGGATGTAACTCGATACCAAACACATATTAAATGTATAGTTTCTTAAGTTTCATATTAAAAACACTACAGTTTCACATTAAAGTCGTTCCAAACATATTATTAATAGCATTTTCAGTCATATCATCACAATTAAGTTTCACTTCCCCCTATTTTAAAGAATAAAACACAGTACCATATAAACTTTTGTGACCACAATAGAATTATACATGATCAAATATATTGCTTGGATCTATTAGCTTAGATAGAATAAAGTTTAAAAGTGTCAATGTATTTTTAGATAGGAAGATTTTTCTAACTTTACTATCTAATATAAATATTTGTTATGAATGTAAGAGTCATGAGGAAGATGATGAAGAAAAGAAACCATAAGACGGTTCAATGATCAAATGGTGACATTATGTGGGACAAGATGATAGAGTTCTATGGATCAAATGGTGACATTATGGGACAAGATGACACGAGATTAAAAAAAGAAAGCAAGAAAGATGTTGGGAGAATCGATGTGTTTTGGAATTAGGGGTAAAGAATTATGATGGTGGGATAAGAATGTTGATAGTAAAGTTAGAAAAAAATATTTTAAATATTAATTGAGGTGTAAAAATGTCAAAACTTGAAAAAATGATAAGAAAGAGATCAAGAAGACATTGAGAAAAATAAAAAAAAAAAAAAAACTCAATTTTTTTTGGGTTTACAATTCTTTAGGAACTAGGAGGGAGAAAATTCTTATATGTAGGTTTGTTAAAGGAAGAGAAAGAAAGATAATAGATTGGATCAAGTGAAGTGTGTTAAAAATAAATAAGATGAACGAAGTATAACTATAATTTATTTGATGAAGGACAAGAGATCTTATTGGATCTAACAAGTTAGAGATGAAGGACAAGAGATCTTATTGGATCTAACAAGTTAGAGATTGAAAAAGAAGATCAACATTTAAATTACTATTGATAGATTCAAAAACATAATGTAAATAAACCGTTGAAAATGATGAGTAATAGAGGTGTTAGGTATTAAGTATGTGTATGTTTTATAAAATCTACAAACATTTATCTTTTTAATTAAAAAAACTATAAATATTTAATAATAACTTAAAGAAAAACTATTTCTTTTATTATTGAAACAAAGTCATTATTACGTAATAATATTTTAAATATTATTTGATATTAATTTAATCATTATCCTTATTTTAAACACAAATTTAATAATACTTAAAATTTTATATTATATATGTATTTTTGTAAGCACACAATGCCACAATAATGAGTCAGTTATATAATAATAAAAATATATAAAATAAATATTAATTAGATTTAGTCGGTTTCGATTTTCAAAAAATTTAAAATAATTATTTGAACTCGACTGAAACAATTATATATTATCATATTTAAGCAATTGAATCAATCCAACATGCAATCCAATCTATTTGTATAAAAAATATAATATATCAGTCAATTTTAATTAGATGGTTCAAATTTGTCAATCTCTACTCTTTCAATTTAACATGACTTAATAATTAGATTTTAAATTTTTATTTTAATAAATAATTTATATCTAGTAAGATTTACATTTGAGACTTTGAGAAGAACACACTCTCTAGACCTAAACCTTTGTCATTAGACCACATACACGCACACCATAAATTCCATTAATAATAACAATTATTTATTTTAAGATAAATTTTTATTTATCCAATACAAAATGTCGGATAATATTACCATATTGTAATGTTAAAATTTAAGTGGTTCTAGTATATCCTATTTATTATTGTCATTAAAAATTATGTTTTTAAAGTTTAGTCATCTATTTTATATATTTATTTATAGGTTGCTTCTAGGAGGAGGGTCCAACTAAATCCCTCACCCATATATTATTATTAGTAACCGTTGGATTAAATAACTTGTTAGATCTTATTGTAGACCTACACACTCAATAACTACATGTATCTTCTTCTTGGATTTCAAATATTGCAAATTTTGGCACCTTTGGTTGCTATTGAGGCATGGCATCACCTTACTTGTAATTCAATTTTTTTGCATTAATTTTTATTTAGCATATTATAATTAATTTTAAATTACTTTTCTAAATAATGGTTCATGTTCCCATAATAGCTTCTCTTTCATGTCAGATTATCTCGTAAACATGCTAGCCATTTCATTTTGCATTCTAAAGTTTGTTTAAAGAAGTAATTGCATTTTATGATAATATGTAATATTTAGAAAATTGGGTAGAATTGAATGTTGTTGTGGTTCTGGTTCTGGTTGTTGTTCTGGTTCAGGTTGTTGTTCTGGTTGTGGAGGAGGAATATTTGGTGGTTCAGAATTTGGTTGAGCAGAAACATGTTCACGCTCAATATCAGCTAGCACTCGATCAAGTGCTGGTGTTGTGGAAACAGTTGGTTGTTTGGGAATCTTAGTTCTGGTTCTTCTGAGTTGTAAGGCCTCAGAAGGGTCTTCTGGTATGGTTTCATCAATGGTAGGGATTGGAATGGATATTTTGTGAGAGGTTTGAGAAGGAGCAGCAGATGTTGGAATAGTAAAAGATTTTGAGATAGGGGCAGCAGATGAAATACCTCTTTTCTTTGGAGTCTGATGAGATGATCCTTCTGCTGGCGCTTTCCTCTTCTTTGTCTTCTTCTGAGTCACTTCAGGTTGGATTTGACTCAGATCTTTGATCTTCAGCTTTGAACCTGTATCTTCTTCCTTGTACGAATCTGGATACTTGAGAAACATCTCTGGTTTGGATTCCATTTCAGAAAATACCGGAAAATCACTCAGAGGCACTCTT